TTGTATATTCTCGTATCATTCCTTCTTATTATTTAAGGGGAGATTTTTTTTCTATGAATCATAATTTTTCTTATGAATTATAGGAATTATAACTTCAAATTTTTTAATATATGAATCATGATCTTGACAACTTAAGATTTCTTATACATGAATCAAGATCTTTTATTCTCCTATGTTCCTTTTTGCTATTTACTAAAGAGAATATCTTTTTCAAAATTTTTGACTTAAGATTTTTCTTATTATTTAATCTCCTAAGATTTTTTTATTTTTTTTAAGGAGATCAAAATGAATCATGTCTTTTGGTATTCACATGATCTTTGATATTATATCTTTCTTAACATGATTTTCATTATATACAATTATCTTGTATTTATGATTTGTATATCTCATGATATAATTGAATCATTGATGTAAAAAGAAAAAAATTATACTATTATATTCTTTCCTTCTCTTTGACAATAACAAAGAGGGAGAAAGTCTTGCTAGCTTGCACATTATAAAGAAAAGAAAAATTACTATCTTGTACATTTTAAGGAAAGAAAACTTGCTTGCTTACAAAAGGAAGCAAAAATTGTTAGCATGCATATTGTAAAAGAAAGCAAAATTACTAGGTTGCATATTTCAAAAAAAGTAGAAACTTGCTATCTCACACATCTCCAGAGAAAAGTGCTAGCTTACTCATCTAAGAAAAGCAAAACTTACTAGTCTTTGTACTTTAAAGAGAAGTAACACTTGCCAACTTGTTAGCTTACACATTCTAAAGTGATGTAAATCTTGCTAAATTGCTAGCTTAAACATCGTAAAGAAAAGCAAATATGCTATCTTGCACATCTCAAAAGAAGCAAAAATTTTACTAACTTTCATATGTGAAATACATACTATCTTACTAGCTTGCGTGTTTTAAAACTTACTAGTTGCACTTCTCCTTTTGGTTGATGACAAAGGGGGAAAGTTATGATATCATGTATAGTAGGATATAATGTACTTTGATATTTTGATACCATGATGATTTGAAATATTTATGATTTGAAATAATGCATATAATACTCATGATTTTATGATGCATGTAATGATGTAAAAGTCAACCGTTATCATTTTATGAAATTTAACCTTATTTCAATATGGCATATTGATAGGGTGAGTTTAGTTTAAACTCTATCATCAATTGGTTGTCATCATCAAAATGGGGGAGATTGTTGAATCTCGAATTTTGATGATAAAATCAATTGATGAAGTTATGGTCTAATGTGTATTTTAAGTGATACAGGAGTAACTTCAATTAGGGAAGACAAATCGATTAAAACAGTAAAATCAGATGTTGGGCCGAGTGGAACATGTCAGGAGATTGAACATCGAGCCAAAGGATCAATCGAAGTACCGGCAAAAGGACTTCGTGCCATGAGTTTGAGCATTGGGCCAGAAGGATCAGACATTATGCCAAGGAGATTGGATATTGCGAAAGTCAACATACCGATTGGGCAATATGCCGTAAGAGAGGATGATGCGCCGAAAGGATTGGACGAAGCGTTGGATGAACCAATGATATGCCGGACAACATAGTATTCTGTTTGTAATCGATTGTGTCTAGATTGAAGTAGTCATGATTGTAATTGAGTTAGTTTTAGGAGGAATCCTACTAACTCAATTAGGGGCCCATTGGGCTTGAGTTGAGACTATTTTGGGCCAAGTGGAAGACCCATTCAGTGACCCAAGATTAGGTGGAACCACCTATGAGCTGGAAAAGTCAAGAGCACACTTTTCCAAGCTATCAAGCGGTAGTACCGCCTAATGTTAGTGTATCACATGATGGTATGACCAGATTGGGCGGTGGTACCACCCAATGACAATGCGATAGGCGATGGTACCACCAGGACTTGAGAAACCCGAGTTGAAATCCTTTTTGGCTAAATTTTTAAATTTATTTGGGGTCTATAAATACCCCACTCTTTTTTACTTGGGTAAGCAAGAAAAAAAAGGATAAAAGGGAAAAAGAATCCTTGACGAAAAAGAGTTGAAAAAGCTTAAAAAGTGTTAAGTGTTTCCCTACACTTTTAGAGTTTAGAGTTCATTTCAGGAGAGGTATGTAACTTATAAAGGTTCTCTCATGAGCCTGTTAAAAGGAGAAAGAGTTGTAAAAGGGTAGTTGATCTTCGCCTGTTAAAAGAAGATTGATAGTGAAAGCCGGTGGTCTCGAGTGAAGTGGAATCGGGAGTGGACGTATGTCACGACGATCGAACCACTATAAATTTGATATACTCTTTTCCTTTGTTGTTTACCTTTATTGCAAACTGCTTTACTAGCTTATTACATTCTTATGAACATTTTCAAGTTAAACATATTTATGATATGAGCTTTATCGAATGAGTTTTCGAACCGTCAAAGATTTTCGAAAGCACTAATTCAACCTCCCTCTTAGTGCCGATATAATCCTAACAAAGGTTCCTCCTCGAGGGCTAGGTTGTCCGGAGCGACCAACGATCCTGCATGACAAGCCAACATCAAGGGTTGCCCAACGTGACTTCTTTGATGCTTAAGTTAGAGAAAGGGAGAAGATAATAGTATAAGTTGTATGATTGAGTTAGTGTGTGAAGAGCTCCCCTTTAGCGTGAGCTGATGGATATCTTTTTATACTTGGGCCTTTTTATCGGCTGGTCTGAGATAAGATCAAGTTAACTACTTGATCATTCTGGTCTCTGATCTTAATAAGGTAGAATAATTATTGCTATTCAATGATGCGGGACATATCGGGACGTACTGCGACATCATTTTGAGATTGGTAACCTAGAGTCCTTCTCAGGTATGTAGCAAATGAGCTGGTATGAGACAAAATCATCCGTATCAATCGGTATAAAAATAGTGAATTCAACTATATAATATTACATTCAACCTACGTGACTCGAAGTCCAAACCCGTTACGCTACTCTTAATGACATGATTTATTCAACATCAATATTATTATTATTATTATTACATCATCATCACCATTCTTCCTGTTGTTTTTATCCTGTTGCTTTAACAGCCCGAGAAGTCCATTACCAGGCAGTCGTATCCCTTGGCGTAACGTTCCTCGTGTCCCTGAACAGGCCACGTCCACAACTCGCACCGACATATGAGGCGAGGGTCACAAATCGCCCCCGTCATCGCGCTAGGGTTTCTTTTGCCTCTCCTTTTTGTCTCCGTCGTTCTACCGAATCAACGTCGACGCTTCCGAAATCTTCCCTGAAGATCGATTTTCGTCGCTCTTGTGTCGCAAGATCTCGTGGATTCCATAGAAATTGTCTAGGGTTCCTGCGGAGCCGGCGATGTCAGCGAACAATTCGGCCGGCGGATCCGGATCCTCGGACCATCGCAGGCCGCCACCATCCAAGGAGTCAGAGAGCGATGAGGGCCCATCGAACACCCTCTGGGTCGGGAACCTTCCCGCCGACACTACCGATTCCGACGTGATGGCCGTCCTCGCGAAGCATGGCGCCTTGGATTGTACCACGATGCGCGGGTCGAGGAGCTGGTACACGTTCGTATACTTCCGGGACGTCGATGAAGCCAAGGCTGCAAAGGAAGCCCTTCGGGGTACCACAATCCATGGGACTGCATCTAGGACCGAGTTTGCCCGACCGGTTTGTACCCCCCCTTTCGTGTAACCTGACATGGATATTAGCTAAATTAACGGAAGAGTTAGTTTAATTTTTTGAATCTACGATTTCGTGTGGAAATTGAATGGGAGTGTTTCAATGTTGAACCATTCATTAGGTTCATTTCGCAGGGTTGAATCATTCGTTATATTTGCTTTTCAACATGAAATCGATCATTAGGAAATAAGCTGCTTTTGCATGCGACGGAGACACAAGTACCTTTCTAATATCACCATCGATGTGGTCAATAGGATCCAGCAAGCTCCAACACGTGGTTCTTAGAAATGTGTTTTATCTACCCTTATTCGTTAGCTGGGGCATCTATCAAGTAGGACTTTCGTTTATTAATAATGATAAAAGACCGGATCAAAACTGGGCAAACCCCAGTGTTGCCCATTATTACAGATTACACGTCCATCCTCATGTCGCAACCTAATAGCGTGGTGCTACTTCCAGTGAAGTATAAACTGAATTGCCTAACACTGAACGTCTTTGATTAAGTAGTAGAACATACGGGTAGAACGAAGAACATATTGTTTGAAGACTCCAATTGTAGATTAATAAATTTGACTAGGTTCCTTGAAATTTGGCTATTCAGCATAATGGTTTGTTAGATTTGTACTTCATAAACATTACATATGTATATGTATACAAATGCTAATAAATATATTTAAAATAAAGGATAGAATTGAGGTAGCAAGCACTAACACTACTACTTCCTACGAGAAGATGGAGATCCTTAACGTAGGTGAGCCTTTGATTCTTTTTCAGACTTGATACATGTATTTTGAAGCAATTTGAAACAATTTCAAAATGGATTACTCATTCAATCAGTGCACAAGATCTGCTTAAATAATCTTTTGCTCATGTTTGGCTCTATCCAAAGCAAAAAACCATAGCAATCAAAATAGTTATCTCTAATTTTCTACATCGGGTAGCTTTTTTTTGGCATTTCGATCGATATCAACATGTCTACGTTACACTCGGAAGAAAATATAATCGGAAGGAGAGAATAAGATCTGTTTTTTTTTGTAAAATGCAATTCGTCAAGAAATTCCAATGAACTACGCATCTTGAGGACCAAAAAATTTTGATGATACATAATAGCTGTGGAAGTTGTCAAATAATTTGGTAGAAACATTATGAGTATTAGTGTAGATTTATTCGGAAGATTATACTCATTTCCTATTCAACTACAGTTTTCTTTGGATGAGGCTCCCTTGAATGATCATACTGGCGATCGTATAAATTAGGATCTTTATGTAAAGGTCTGGGATTGTGACCAGCCAACATAATCAAGCCCAATTTCTTATATGGCAGTTCTTATGATTAATCAGATCCAAACTGGTCCATTTTCTGGTTTGGCTTTGTGACAATGAAATAAACAGCAAAGGCACTACTTACAAAAATTAATGCAAAATAAATGACAATAGAATATAGTTGTAGTTCACTAATTTGCTTCCCAGGTACATATATGTTTTGTTCTCTTTTTTTCTTACAAATTTGCTTCCCAGGCACTACTTACAAAAATTAATGCAAAATAAATGACAATAGAATATGGTTATGGTTTTAGTGCAAAAATGGAAGATCGGTTCGCTATATCATTGTGTAAATCACATGAGTGTCCATCATATTTTGCATGAATAAAATTGAATGCTCATTTGTAACATTGGTAATTAATTGTTGTTTTAAGTTTCTTAAAATATACGTTTTTTAATTACTGTATTCTCGACTATAATTATTGTATATCCTCTTGTTGCTCTTGAAGAAAAGAAAACTTTTGTGGTTTTCCCCCTTTGAATAGGTTACCGATTAATAGGAAGCGTAAATTTAGCATGCTTCAGCTGCCACAAACTTAATCAATCATGTTTCTTTTGATGAACACTAATATATTGTTCCTTTAGTTTTTATTTTCTCAAGCCGAAGATTATAATCAAGGTAGTAGAAAAGGGTTTGATGTTTGTCATGATGTGAGTAAATTGTCACGCAAGTGAAATTATTTCGAACTTGATCCCTTAAGAGAACAAAAATGATTCATTCCATGTTGCGAACTCAATTTTCTTTTCATAATAAAGATAAGCTATTATTTTTGTCTTTTCTAGCTTCGATAAGCTATTATTTTTCTTGACATTTAGAACCTCTCTTTTTAGCACTTCTTCTTATTATGATCAAGTCGGCACTAAGAGGGGGGGTGAATTAGTGCAGCGGATAAAAACGTCGTTGGTTCAAAATTTCGTTTCGATTAAACCCGTTTCGGAAAGATATTAACTTGAAACACGTTCGTAAGAGTGTGTAGCTAAAGTAATGAGGAAGTATGATAGTTTGCAATAGATGTAAATAGCAAAGCAGAAATGCAAATAAGAATTTATAGTGGTTCGGTCGTCGTGACCTACATCCACTCCCGATTCCTCTTCCGTCGAGATCATGGGCATCCACTAACGATCTTCTTTCAATGGGCTAAGATCAACTACCCTTTTACACCCCTCTTCTCCTTTTCACAGGTTTAGGAGATAACCTTTTATAAGCACTCACTTCTCTTTAAACAAAATTCTAAACTTAGAGTTAGAGGAGGGAATCTCTCAAGTAATTGCTACAGCATTTTCTCATTTTTAAGTTCTCTGTGCTTGTGTATGTTAACCAGGGATGAGAGGGGTATTTATAGGCCTCAAGTGGATTCAAACTTGGAGCCTAAAAATGTCTCATCCCAGGTCCTCCGGGTACTGGCGGTACCATTGCCTGTAGCACTGACACTGACACTGGGCGGTACCATCGCTCAGTCTTGCGGTACCATCGCCTTACACCCTACCATTGGGCGGTACCATCGCCTGACATAGTCTCGGAGAATGTGCCATGACGGTTCCACCTGTTGGGTTACTGTTTGGGCCTTTCACTTGGCCCAACACAGCCTAAACTTAGGCCCAATTGGCCCAATTCCAATCTAATTATGTGCTAATTACGAATTTTAAGGCATACACTAAACAAATCAAGTTCGGTTAGTCTAGGTTTCTTTCGGCAAGCTTCCAGCGATCTTCCGACAAACTTCCGACGATCTCTTGGTAATGTTCCAGCGGACTCCCGATAAGCGATTGGATTTCACGACGATCTTCTTGACGAGTTTCGACGAGCTTCTTTGGCAAGCTCCTGGACTTCTCGGTCAATTCCGGCAGAACTTCCGACGAACGTCCGGACTTCCGACGAACTCTCGAACTCCCAACGAAATCTCGTTCTTGACTTCAGGATTTCATTTTGCTTTATGCCTTGATCGCTATCATAGTTAATCCTGTACACTTAAAACCTACTTCAATCTAGACAATTATTACAAAGCTAAATCAAATATTGTCCGACATGTCATTGATTCATCGACGTCTCGTCCGATTTTTCGACGCATTGTTCTCTCTTGTGGGTCTATTGCCCAATTGGCCGGTTGACCTTCGCAACTCTGATTTCCTTGGTGCAATTTTCGCTCTTCTTGGCCCGATGCTCGAACCCATGGCTCAAAGCCTTTTGCTGATACGTCGACCGATCCTTCGGTTTGACGTCCAATATTCTGACATGTTTTTCTCCGGCCAAATATGATTCTTCCTATTTTAATTGTCTCTTTCTGATCGAAGCTTCCTACGTCACTCAAAATGCAGATCAGATCATAAACACTATCAATTAGTTTCATCATCAAAATTCGAGATTCAACACTTCCTTGATTGAATTAGGAACTCTAAAAAAATTCTAACTATTAGCTATTGGATCACTCTCTAATAAATAGTAAATTCTATCTTATAGTTCATGCCATCAATATGTGCATGCATTGGCATGACCTTTTGCTAACCCTTTTACAATGATGACCAAGGTCCAATACTGGTTTTGACAATTTATCATATTGAGAGTGTCAATATATAGGTTTGTGCTGCTTAATGTTACTTAAAGATAATAAAAATACAAATTCCGATTAACATCAAGTTATATGGTCCAGAACTGTTCCTTGGTTGGATTGGTAGATATTTGTGCATGTCTTTCTGAGCAGCATTATATTATAAATTAGTCATCATATACCAAATGGTGGAAAAAACTTTATTACATTTGTTGAACTATTTCTAGTAAGAGAAACTGAAAGTAACCACCATACTTAGTTTTTAATACCAACTTGCTACATTGCCTTCTTTTAATGTATGGGGACTAATTGAAAAACAATTTATACAACACTTTAGTATGAAAGCACCAAAAAGCAGAGCAAAGTTGCCATTTGGGTTTGCGACACAATCATGTAAGCATACTCCAAATTTTGAAATGAAGTGCTTCTTTTCAATGATAAGTTAACATCTTCACCTTTAACTTTTCAACTCTGGTAGACTTGGATTTCTTCTTTAATTGAACAATAGCCTTGCATCTCTTTTTTAACTCAATGCAGCTGCATCATTTTGTCAAAGTCAAAAAAATATAAATAGGTTCCTGATATGATATTTTAGGTCATCAAAAGGAGAAAACATTTTGTCCATATGCAAGGAATGGAAGATATATTTTCTTTGTCCTGGTGTATCTGCACAGTTGTCTATCCATGGGCACTATGTTTCTTTTTAGAGCCTCTTGCATATGTCAGTCAGATATATCTTTGTTAGCATCTGTTTATGATTTTCTATGATATGTGTGGTACTTATTTGTGAAATAGATATTAGATTTATAGATACTGTAAGCCATAGACAATGTAAGCTAATAGTGCTAGCAGTGTTAGCACATGCCAAGGTATGTCAGCAAGCCAAGCTGGGTCCACACAAGTTGATGTAACACCTTCTCATGTATGAGAAACCAGCACACGCTAGCAAACAATGAAAAACATATTCTTAGTTATGTTGGCATGTAACACATGCTGAAAGCTGAAGACTTGATGATCCCACCTTCCCCCCCTTGTGATATTTTCAAGGTTTGCAATTTTGCCCCATATGGTACGGGCAGTATAAATATCATATTTTTATATATGTCCTTGTATCCATTGTTGTATACACATCGATAAAATTTTACATATAGTACTATAGTCATGGCAGATGTCATTGCGAGTAAATATAAATATAACATTTCAATCAAACATACATCTCCGATTACATTTATTGTTCTGTAGGTATATATGCCAGTCTTTTGTCCTTGGGCATCTTGTAAGTCATGGTGTCAAGGCATAAAGGATGTCTCTTATAATAGATTTTAGAAGCATAGGTTTGAGGTCTACATAGTGATTAAGACCTGTTTTAGGATATCTTGTTAGTCATAGTGTTTAAGGCACCAATGATATCTCATAATCAGATGTGATATTGTATCCAGTTGCGCTGATGTAGGTTCTTATGAGACAAATATCATTTTTTATATTTTTTGTTAAATGCAAAGTATTTTTCATTTTTTTAAATGCATGAATAATTCAGATATTCTTTTTCTTGTAGCATCAAATTTGTTCTTTAGTAAAAATGTGTACTAGCCTTGTGAAAATGATTTTTATCTCAAATAGCTTCTGCTGATAGATTAATGGGACTAATATTTCTTTTTGTAAAAATGCCTTGTTTGAAATACTTCATTATAAATGCATGACATTATTTTTTCTATTATAAATATTCATTTGTTGATCATGTGTGCATTTGCTGGTTTATATATGGCAAGCAATCCCAACATACTAAAGGCTTTTTAGTAGTTTCATTACGAGGATTGCAATTTTGGGTATCAGACCTGTGTTGGTCATTGTCTGGACCCATGTGGGTTTGATATGTATTGCCATGTCGACACACATTATGTCTGTACGTATGATACCGAGAAAGCAAAAAAGGGAAGGGGGTGGGAATGCACAAAGAGGAGGATAAGGGGTATCTGGCTGCATTAGTGGCAGGCTGACAGCATGGGCAATGCAAGAGAGGGTAGCATAAGTGAGGCAAGTGGATATCAACAGAGAAAGCCACAGTGTGAGGGATTATTGATTTAGGATTAACCTTAAACTAAAAAAGAAGTAAAAAAAATCCTGAGCCTAGCTTATCTTTTGGTTCGCATGTTATAGCGTGGTAAAACCTAGGCCATCATTGGACCGCCTGAAATGGGATGGTCTGTGTTGTGGCCCTTGTTCGAATCATTAAACACCAGTTGGTACATACCAGTCCAGGCAAAATTGCAATCCTCAATTTCTGATGTCTGGTTAATCCTGCATTAAATTGTTAGAAAATGATCATTTTTAGTATATGTACCATCTTGGATAGAAGCTATCAGTCCATGTATTGTGATTTTGAAATTGTTTACATGCCTGATAAGCTACATATCATAAATTTTGAAGCTACTCTGTGAATTTGGGTGCTCTTCAGGTCATCATTATTTCACTGCAGAAGTAACATTTTGAAATTATGTCAATATAGTGAAATGAACTAGGGAACCTTGGTGTGAGTAGTTTTGATGTACTAGCATTTATTTTAAGGAGTTGTCAACTGATCTGGACTTTATGAATTTAGCATAATGCTTTGTAGCATAGCCTCCTTCTTTGTGATGTTGTTTTAAATATCACAATATTATTGCTTTAGCTTGAAGTCTTGAGGAACTTTAAATTTTAGCCTGTAGTCCAACTTATTTATGTTGTTTGTTGCTGATCATAGGTTAGAGAGAGAAATTGTGTTATTTAAATCTTTCATGTGGGCTGGTTCATTTGATAAAACACAAATTTATTGGTTTATTTATCACGTTTTATGGAGTTTTACCCTATTGTTATTTATGCTATGTTCATATTTCACTGTATTGTGTAATCATTCTTAGCTGAAAACAGTTATTCTGTTCTTGTTATTTTGATAGATAATATAAATGAGTTTAAAAGATATGGCATTTTTATAGAAGAATCAGGAAGATAGACTAATGCAAACGTACATTATTCCGTTCTAGTCAATCTATTTGTAGACTAAGCAGATAAACAATGTCTGCATGTCATAAAGCTGACATATTATAATTGAATGCTACAACATGTAGTTAAGTATTTCTATTTAATAATAATTTTGTGTTTAATTTTCTGATGCAGCCAAAAGCGGCTAAGCAGATATGGGTTGGTGGGTTTAATACATCCATAACAAAGGAACAACTTGAAGATGAGTTTTCGAAGTTTGGTAAGATTGAAGATTATAAATTCTTTAGGGATCGGAATTCAGCTATTATCGAATATCACAAATTGGAAGATGCCATTGCTGCTCACAAAAATATGAAGGGGAAGCGGTTAGCTGGTGAACTATTATGTGTAGATTTTCTGCGATCTCTACCTCCTAGAAGGGTCAGTACTCTATATAGCCTGGTGGTACCATTAGATATTTTTGAGCTTCTTGCTTGTAAGTTATCTTGATCAATGATTGCTGTGTGGCATGACACCAGCATTGATTCATGCCTAGTGTAGATTTTGTGCTGGAACAGAAAAATGTCAATGGGCATGGGCTGTAGTAATGCAGTCCTTTATCTTGATGATTTTGCATTTGATATGCATCTTTAGGATAATTTACTTATGCTTCTTGCTCATAACAATGCTGTTAATGAAATAGGATTTGCCTGACCGCCATGATTCGAGAAACGGATACTTCGGCAACCGGACTTTGGGAGCACTAGAACGATCTGTTCCACCAGATGACTTGAGAAATTTTCATAATTCTTCTTTGCTTGGGTCTAAGAGGGATATGGTACATTTTGAACACAAAAGTTTAAATCATGCTGAATCTCTTTGTCTTTTGCTGCTGCACATAGGAATGGACAATGCTTTATATTTATATTCACATGATTTTGTGTTTTTTTTTATAATTTCAGTCTCATGGAGCTCACAGAGATGGTCAGCCAAGCAATGTTCTGTGGGTAGGATATCCACCTTCAGTTCAAATTGATGAGCAGATGCTTCATAATGCTATGATTCTTTTTGGTGAAATTGAAAGGATAAAGTGCTTTCCATCGAGGCACTATTCTTTTGTAGAGTTTAGAAGCGTTGATGAAGCTAGGCGTGCCAAAGAAGGCCTACAAGGCCGTCTTTTTAATGATCCTCGGATACAGATACTCTTCTCAAGTAGTGAACTTGCACGTGGTAAGGATAATCTGCCACCTTTCTCTGCGTTAAGAACACGTAGACCCGAGATGTTTTTGGATGAAGGCCCTTTTGGGCCTTTGGAAATGTTAGGTCCTGGCCGTTCAATTGCCCTGGATAATTTTCCTGGCTCACTAAACCCTAATGGAATGCCTGGAACAAATATCTTCAAAAGGTCATTTGGACCTCAAGGATTTGATGCTCGTCATGTGGGACCTGAGTTCCATGAATCTGGTGGTCTTGCACCAAACTTGTTTGATGTCGATGCTAGCAAATCTATACCTCATAGTTGGAGACACCGATCTCCTTCAGCTCCAGGCATTCTACCTTCTCCTCCAGGTGTTCTCCAAGCTGTCCGACCCATGCCTGAAGGATGGGATGGTCTTGACATAAGAGATACAAAGAGGTTGAGGGTGGATACTTCTCCCACCAATAATGGTTTACTTCATGCAAGGAGGGTTGACAGCAGCAAGATTGGGGAGCACCCCTTTCTGTTTTCTCATCCTGATGGAGGTGCTTCTAGTCGAGGTCAACTTGGTCCTGCCCCTCATAGCCATCGTGATGTACACTCTTCTGATAAAGACTACTGTTGGCGCGGTGTTATTGCTAAAGGTGGAACTCATGTTTGTTATGCTCGCTGTATACCAATAGGAAAGGGCATTGACTCTCCTTTGTAAGTCTGAATTTCTTTTCCCTTTGCATGCTTGGTTTATATGAGCAAAGTGATTTATTTGACCATTGTGATATGACATCTTTTGGCAGACCTGATGTTGTTAACTGCTCAGCCAGAACTGGATTAGATATGCTTTCAAAACATTATGATGAAGCCATTAGTTTCGACATTGTCTTCTTTCTACCAGATAGTGAAGAAGATTTTGCCTCGTACACAGATTTTCTCCGGTACCTGGGTTTAAAAAATCGTGCTGGGGTTGTGAAGCTTGAGGATGGTACTACACTATTTTTGGTGCCTCCATCTGAATTCCTGACCAAGGTACTGGGTGTCAGTGGTCCTGAACGTCTCTATGGTGTTGTTCTGAACATGCCACAGCAACCGATCAGTGTGGCTGTGCAACAATCACAACTGACGGTTCCTCCCCTAACATCTCATCACACTGATCGGCAAAATGTACCTAGCTCACAGAAAAGTTACAATTTTGTCTCCCGTATTGAAGATCATGCTTCGAGTGTTGATTATAATCAGTCCTTGAATGAGGAAATGGCATGCCATGCAGTGACTGAAAAATTCCTGATACCACATGGGAACGAACAACGCCTTGCACGAACAACTGCCTTGGAACAGGAAAGCAATGCTGCTCTTGCTGCCTCCCAGTTGAAGTTCTCCTTGACTCCTGATCTGATAGCTACTTTAGCTTCTTTGATACCCAACAACAACCAATCATCAGCTTCTGCTGCTGTTCAATTGCCACCTAGCTCTACGGTGAGACCAACTTCATCCTATGCTGGGATGCCTGATGGATCAATGCAATCTCAAAGTTGGAGGCAAGAGAATCAAACAAGTCTTTCTGTTACTTCTATGGAGCAACAGAGTCTGCAACCACATTTAGGGCAATACTTCAGTAACCAGGCACAGCCGGTCTCTCAGTTCCAACCATATACTAACACATCCAGTGGGACTGATCCCTCTCTGCAGCCGTTAATTGGTTGTGTGCAGATTCAAAATTCTGCTCTTAACATGCCTCAAGCTCTGGCTGCTTCAACTAGTATGTTGAATGGTTATGCGATATCACAACACGGACAATTTTCCACCACCCAGAGCAATCAGTTTTATCAGTTTGATACTCCTGTTGCTTCTCGTGATAACTATGGAAGTTCACAAACAACACATGCTGCTGATGTGGTTGGTTCTATTGTTCAGCAGCAACCTAGACTTGGTTCTTCATCTGCTCATGATCGCATTGGAAATATGCCTCAGCATCAACTTTACAACCCTTTACCAAGTGAAAAGGGAAATATGGAGATCCCTACCCAAGGGCAGCAGTTACAAAATGTTTTTTCAAGTTATGGCCAGGGAACATCCCAAAGTGATGATGACAAGAATCAGCGATATCAGTCAACCCTCCAGTTTGCTGCTAGCTTGCTTCTCCAAATTCAACAACAGCAGCAAGCAAGTGCTCACACTGCTCAAGGATCTGGAAACCAGCAGTGACAAGTAATTTTTGGTGCAAGGTAACCTTTTCCTTTGTGTATGCTGAAGTTTTACTACTTATTTTAGTATACCCTCCTTGAAGTTACAAACTCTTTCTCACAAATTCTCACTCTTGTTCAATATCAACGGAAGAACCATTTGACATGTGTCGCAAAGTTGCATATCAATGTCTCAAAAACATAAATCCACTATCCTTTCTCTATTTGGATTTTTTTTATTGAAAGAGAGCTAAATATACATTTAGATCTAATTAAAATATCCTAAATTAGGCTTTTCCCCAATTTTCATGTATTTTTTAATATTTTCTATATATTTTTTGGAACTATCGGCATGTTTTCTGGTATCATGTGTCAGTATGTTGGTATAGATCAGTTCCTATTGGATTGGCCATAGACCTGCATGGTCGGTCTGTCACGAACGGTCGTTGCGCACCCGCAACAACTTCGTTCAACGAACTGTTCGTCGCTTTTGCATGCTTGTACAGAGACATGACAACATGTTTTGCCTTGGTTTTGTGTGTTTTTGCTTGGAAAATGTAAGCAACGACAGTTCGCAGCGCTGCAGTGCGATCGCTCGCCGGGCTAGGCCGAACTGCCCCAAAATGGTTTCATTTTCACGTGCCGTGGCTTGTTTTCTACAAACCGCAGTTGCATGTAAAACGTCAGCCATCTCAACACCCTAAAACCCCTCGGGTGGCACAGGGTTGGATGGAGCTTCGGTATATTGTTGGGCGTTGAACAATCTTCACAAGTTCACACGTTAACTTGACGGGAACTTGCCTTCGCGCCTAGCACCCGGTGAGTAGTTGTTTGTGGACTTGCAACTGTTCGTTCTACCTTCTAAAGTCTTTGTTTTCTCATTCCTCTCTTGCACTCAAGGTGCTCGCTGAATTGCTTGTAAAGCTTCCCTCTTCGCGAGACGTCGGGACTTGTTCGTCGCTCGTTTTCAATCTAATCAACTTTCTGTTTTACAGGTCCTTCGGGACCTGTACGAGGTTGCAACTAGGCTGACCCTTTACAGACGCATAGGTCACAAGGGCGCCTCATGACTTAGGCAATCCCAGCTAAGTCCGAGGAGTTGGCGCAAGGGTGCTTCACGACTTAGGCAACTCTAGTTAAATTTGTGACTTTGCCGCAAGGGTGCCTCACGACTTAGGCAATTCTCGCTAAGTCCGTGACATTGTGGTATCAGAGCAGGCAAGCCATTCGAGCAAGCAACGAAGAAACTTCGCAATCTCGCCATGACAAAGCATCGTGGCGAATCGAGCAAGACGGGGCCAGCTTGTCACGGACTTAGCTGGTTTTGCCTAAGTCGTGCGGCACCCTTGCATGTTCGTCCGTAAAGGTCAGCGTCCCCGAAGTCTCCCACGGTCCCTTAGGACCCACAAAAGAGAGAACAGGTTAGAGAAAACGCCTCATTCGGGATCCACAAGCAAACATTCCAGGAAACACTTCATAGACAATGCAAATTACAAACAGACTTTACAAGCTCTGAACAGTTACACAACAAAGGGTAAAATGGTCCATTACAGATCGAAAATCTCTCACACGTGTCCACATGACACAACCTTTATTTACAAGTCTAAAGCGGCCACCAACCTAACTAAAATGGGACTATTAAGCCTTCGGTCGTCCCTCTACATGCTGTACAAAGCATGAACATACCAAAAGACATGGACATACATAAGTATTACATTAAACATCCTGTTTAGAAGTTTGTCCGTGGCATTCTCCCCCACTTATTCCTTCGACGTCCTCGTCGAAGCCTTTGTCGACACTGCAACTCCTCGCCTTTGCTGAGTCTTCAATCTTTTGCTCCAGCTGCAATGCGCCTCTTGGCTCCCAGCTGCTCTCCGCTGCTGTTTTTGAGTAGTCGAACCTTTAATCCGCCATGCTGCTTCAACTCGCCAATAACTCTGACTCCAGTGTGGGGTTGGCTGAGTTGTGTTGATCCCTGTTGGTTCCTGCGGATCCTCCAGATGAAGGAAAAGACCATCCTTACTATGTGCCAGTCTCTCAAATGCTCATGCTGCTTGAACTTGGTGGATGCTTGTTGGAGCTTTAACGAGCATCGTCTCGCAAACTTTTGAATTTTTTTTTTTGGGTCCTTCCTCCACAAAATTTGCCCACTCTTCTTTCACTTAGTGTTGTCACTTCCAAGTAGGTTTGCATCACTTCCGCTTTCGATTGACAGTTCGTTGAGAAATGAAGCGGACAATCTACTCTCAATAGCACTGATCACCGTTGGTGAGGATTTGACAACTATTGTCTTCCATTATCTTCGAAGGGTCTTTGAACATGTGCAGAGCTCCTCTGCTGGATAGATAAGAGAATTGGGGTACTCGGTTTCGCCCATTCTCTTAAGAGTTGAGAAGACAAAGGTTACTTGACTTCGCCCGCCTCCTCGAGGTTGTACTCCATGCATCGAGCTGATTACTGGCCTTCGCCTGCTCTTTGCTCACACTTCTGAAGTACTTGAAGTGTTTGCACTCCTTGCGTTGAGTTAGTTACTGTGATTCACCTTCTCAATGCCATCGAACTTATGGAATGCAGGAAGTTTTCACCCCAACTTGGAGTAATTCTCTAATAGATTTGGTCGCCTCTGGGATTGTACGGTCTTCTCCATCAACTCTGCTGCCTACTCCCCTGAGTAGCAAAGGTACAGCACCGCGTACTTCCTGCTTCGTTCCTTGGTCATGCACTCTTGCATGACCCGAAGTCCTTCACTTTCGGCTATCTTGATGAGAAACTCGTTGACATCGGTCTTACGAAGTTCCTTAGCCTCTGCCCTTCAGCCTTGTCTTGGTACTTGGAGATTGCCTCTTGCATGCTCCACCTCCTCGGCCCCTTTCACGACCAAGCACTCTCCCTCCATGAGAGCAAGGGATCAATGACTTTCACGGAAGTCCCGCCTCTGTGGTACCATGGCGCTGCCATGCCCATGGCACTACTATCTGTCGCCTCACATCTGCATCTCTTTTCTTCACATTCAGTAGATATGCCACTATGGCACTCCTCCGAGTCCACCTCCATTCTAACTGATGCTTGATTTTGGGTAGCTAAGTCCCTCTAGACTCGTCGTCGCTTCCTCGCCCCTTTCGACCCCCTGCTTCAATACCTCTGTGTTCTCCAAGCAACTCCCTTTGGTCGATGGAAAGATAGACTGCAACTCCCATGCATAGCCTCTGCCATCACGTTGTAGGATTTGCACCGATTATGTTCTCCTTAGCTTCCTTGGTAGCAACGTTCGCTTACTCGACCTTGTCCTCTGACTTGTCGGGCTCCCTTAAGCGAATATGAGCTCTGGAGCAGTCCAACTCTCCAGCTGCTTCGATTATACCTCTGTATGATCAAGTCTCTCCCATGGGACTTACTGGTACTTGCATTCGAACTTTTTCCATTAGTGGAACACAGCCCCCATATGCTGATGACCAAGGCTTTCATCCGATGCAAAATTCGATGCACGCACGGAAGACTCGCCTCTGCGGTACCATGGCCTTCACTCCTTGAATCCATAGCCCTTCTTATCATCGTGTTGTTCACCGAAGTGGAGCTTCCAGTAGCTCCTGATCATACCTCCGTATGATCTAGTCCCTCGCGGGATTATGTCGTGTGTATCGCATTGCCACGAATTGTTCCACCACGATCCGCTACACCATGTCGCCTCCTGGTGACATCTCCATTGTATTCTGATCCTTGTGGGATGAACTCGAATTGTGATCCCTCTATGTGTGGCCTCTACCAATACATCGCTGGGTCTCTTCCACCTTCGATTTTGTTCGCTTCTTTGGCAATCAACCTTCATCCACCCACTCTTGGGTCACACCTAGATGAAGCACCGCTCTAGGACAGTCCGTCGCCTAGTAGCTCCCAAAGTCCCCCAACTTCGCTGCAATTAGTGCACCATTGTCTGGATCCTGAGCCTCTGCCTCTACCAGCACAATCTTCGCTGCACACCGCTTCCTTCATGGCAACTTGAATGGCAACACTGTGGCATATTCTTCAAGAGCACTCGCCTCTGTGTCCTCTTGCCCCGTGCTAAGACCTTCTGAATCTAACTTCGCCTCCGCAAATTGAGTCGCCTTAGTTCCTCCATCAAATTCTTTTTCGAGATAAGGTGTATGTGCCTAGAAGCTCCCTTCGTCTTTGGCACCATACAAGATGAGTCTGCTCCGTCAGAATGAATGATCCATGGAACAACATGATCCTGCTCTTGCCTCTACAAAAGTTTATGTCCTTGACCTTTGTCTAAGGAAAGCACTATGCCTCCGCTCCATGTTCCATCTTCTATGCTGGCTCCCTTCATGCGGCTTGGGTACTTCGCCAAGTTACACCCAAGTTGCTCCGCTCCTCGTTTTTGCATTGAGTTGATGGTGACCCTCGTGCCCACCATTCCACGGGTCAGCCCTCCCTTGAGTCTGATCTCCATATCGACTCCAAGTGTGCCTTCATTTGTATTGCTTTGGGTCACTTCCCCACTTGATCTCGTAATACATCCACCAATGCATTCTCTTGAGCGAGATCATACGACGACTCCTTGCCACTTGCTTAGTCCATTGAGCTTCGTGGAGTTGTTGTTTGTTGAGATACTCCTCAACATGTGAGGTCCGTCCCACATGATTCTCCCTTTGGAGAGCCGGGACTTATCCCTTCTGGATAACTGTCTCGTTGGAGCAACATCTCTCTTCGTTTCGGAGACCACCATACCCTTGGATTACTCCGATCTGCTGAACAA